AGGATGCAGACGGTCTGACAGGCAACGAAGCATTCTTGCAGTCAGTGTTCTCGAGCTGCCATCCTAGCGAACACATCGCCCGTTGTCATGATGCTCTCGGACTGCGGGGTCGGGGGGTGCACGTGAAGTTCTTCATTGTCGGGGTCGTGGTGGCCATGGACGCGCCATCTCGATTTGGCGAGGGCCCTGGGTCCCAATCCTTCTTGCGGCTTGCGTCTGGCCACGCGCGACCCGAGGATCCTGTCGGGGTGCCGTCTCCTCAAGAGGGCAGCTTCCGCAGCGCTCAGAACTCGCGCAGCTCCTGATTCCAGAACGGCCTTCCATTCCACGGATTCTGAAACATCAAAAAACTATATTTCCTCGCGCGTGAAGTTCTCCAGTCGAATTTCGGCGCCTCGCCGAGACGGGGGGTCCTCGCCCTTTCCTCTCCCCGTGGAATTGGCGAAGCTAGCCTGGGTTTCCGGGTGCCAAAAAACAAAATCGAAATGAAACCAGGAGCAGAGTTCTCCCCAGAGATCATCATCAAGCTTCTCCATCTCCTGCAAAATCGGTATTGGACCTCCTCGGAGGCTCGGATGCCCCCCTCCTCGGAGACCTCGACCCCCCCTCGCGGGCTGTGCGAGCTCGGCAGGCTGTCCGGCTTCAGCTCCACGAGAAGGGCCTAAGCTGGCTGAGCTGTCTGGAAGCAAGCTCCTCCTCCTACTGCAGACGGGCGCGTCGTCCAGCAATCGGCCCCTCGTTCCCGCGCGTCCCCTTTCCTGCGCCGCATCCCCGACTCTCCCTGGCCCCCCCGACATGTCTTCAGTTGGCGTGAGACGCGAGCGCTGGGCCGGCGGGAGCTTCGTCGGTTCTTGAGACCTCCGACCCGCGGCGAAGTTCTCCTCGCCCCGGAGAGGACTGGCATCCCAGAACCCTGGGCCTCCGACCTGGTGGTCTCGGGGCCGGGAGACAGACTGCTCGAGGCGGAAAGCGGTCGGGCCGTAGCAGCCCGATCCGCGAGATCGGCTCCAGCCGGCGCAGCCGGCTCCTCGACTGGCGGAGGAGGCGCCTGAGCGAGAGGAGGCGCAATCGGGACGGGAGCCCCCTCGGACTCTGGTTCCCCTAGGCCCCGAGCTTCTGGGGGAGGAGGGCCCTCAGTCTCAACGTCCGCTGCTCCGACGCGCCCCCCTGGAGCTTGAAGCTCCTGGCGCAACTTGGCAAGGGATGGTGTCTAGAAGCTCTGCTCCCCGCGATTTTTCCATAGTCGCCCATCTAATCAGTTGCCCGCACTTCGGCAAACGAGACCTCATCGCCACCCGCGCTGTGGTTCCTTGCTGAAACACCACGGCCCTGGGCCCCGTCCACTTCGAACGCTTGCATCTGGGACCTCCGTCGCGGCCCTGGTAAGCCCCCCCCTTTCTCCAAACGTGCGCCCAGGCCCCGGGGGGGAAACGCGTTGTCCGCGCGCTTTCTGGCCTGGCTGGCCACCAGAAGTTGGCCCCCGGCGCCCATGGCAATCGCGGCTTTCTTGGCTTCTTCCCTCGCAGCATGCATCCGGGCGAAGGCCGTGGCGGGAGAGATAGAATAAATGGTCCCACTGATAATGTCCTCAATCCCCAATTCGTCGTGGGCCTCATCAGACAAGAGAGACCTCGGGATGCGAGGGCTCTCGCCGAAAACCATCTGATAAAAGGGGGACCCCCCTGTGGGCATGCCTATTCTTGGCCAGGATAACCTCGCGCAGCAGCTCCTCCACTTCTTCGATTGAGGAGGGTTCTGCACTGGTCGCGGCGCGAGCGAGTGCCGACTCTGCCAGCCCCCCACGCCCCTCGCATCTTCCGCATCGCAGACGAGCTGATGCACTCCGAGATGTTCGAGACCCCGGGACATTGAACCCTCGTGCTCCTGCCCCCCGTCAGTCACCACCGTCTCCTGTATCCCATGGGGTCTTACCCAGTGCTTCAGGAAGGCCCTCGCGCCTCTGCTGACGTGGCGGCTCGAAGCAAGGTGCAGACCTGAAGATTCGACCTGTGGTCGAACATATTGAGCACAGGGTGAACAAGTCGAGAGCGTGAATATAAAAGAGGTCGGCCGTGACCAATTTGTTGAACTGGTAAGTCCCAAACGTATGAGATTTTCTCATCCACCCAGGGCGAGAGGAGGTCGACGCGCGCGCCGGGCACCGAACATATTTTAGGACCCACGGGATCGCCCCCCTTCTCGCTTTGCCGACCTTCAAGGTCCTCGCGAAATGCTGCTTCTTCGGATGTCCCAGATTAGCGTGCAGCTCGTGGACTTCTTCCTGGGGTTCCCTGGAGATCGAGGGCGCCTTGGAAATCCCTGGAGAGTCCGGGGGTCCGCGGGTGTCGGGCTCATCCTCGGAATCGGTTCTGCCCGATAGGGGGCCCCCGGGTCCGCAGAGGGTTTGGTGGCGGCCGACGGGAAGGAGGACTTCCTAATGTGGCTGAACGCCACCTGCTCGACGCCCTCCGCGAGACCGCCCGCCCGATCAGGAGGAAATCGTTCAGCAGCTGAAGTCCCGGCGCCTCTGGCGAGAACAGAATGAAAGTGATTCCCCGAGCATCTGCGGTCGCATGTCCAAAGGCCGCCGTCCAGGGAAGTCAGACCGAATTCGCGCTGGCCCCCTCGGATGTCTTGGGCCCCAGGTTGTTCCCGGAGAAACTCTGTGGACTTCAGTTGCCTCGAAGAAATCCCAAGATAATTCTCTATCGTGAACTTCCGGCCTTCCGAGATCTGGCGCATAGCGAACTGCGCCGCGAGTCCCCGAAGGGAGGTGCTCTCTGGCTCTATCCTATCTCTCTCACCTGGGTCCATCTCGTTCCAACTCGGGACTCTGGCCGCGGGAACTCCCCGGCGCGGTGGGGTCATGGGAATGATCTCGGGACAGTCGGACTCGATCATAGCCCGCGTCTTCTCCCTTTCCTGGGCCGGCCTGAGACCCCACCCAGCGCGAAAGTCCGCAGCTCGAGATGCCGCGCGCCTCCTCTCTTTGAGAACAATTCCAGGCTCAGCGCCCTCTTCTGGCAGTCCATCTCACAGATCGCGTCCCGCCTTCGTTTCCTCTTGGTGGCCCTCACCACTTTTCCTCCTAGAGATCCAAGGGCTTCCTCTCGTGCCCGACGGGGAACTGAGACTAGCGGCTGAGCCAGAGACCTCCTGAGGGAGGGGCGCTCGTCCAGAAGGGGCCAGCTCTCGGGCGGACTGGCCGTGGTCCCAGCCGAGGCCCAGACTGAGATCGTCAGGTCGGACTGCTTGAAGCCCTCCAGCTTGCGCGCTATCTCGGGCGCTGAGGCCCCTGCCCACAGCGAGTCAACAACGGTGGCAATCATTTCGGGCTTGTTCGCCGTGATCCTGAGTCTCCGAAGCTGCCCCGTACTGCAGCGATCAGTCTTTCCCCCCTGTAGCCCTCAGAGCGAGGTGGCCCTAAAACTTCCGAGCCTCAGAGGCGTCGAGAATTCTCTCACCCCAGGCGGCTCTCTCGGGCAATTCCTTCAATGAAGCCGCGCTGCCCGTCTCCCGGCCCCAGTGCCAGCCGCTCGCGCGCGGGGGTTCCCTCCGAGTCCCTCAGCCCCCCCCCCCCCCTCCTTTCAAAGACCCCGAAGCTTTTCGCGGCCCAGTCCCCGACGTCGGCCCTTGAAAGGAGCAGTCCTTGAGGAGGCCCCTGGGCCCCGGGCGAAAATTCGGAAACCTCTCGGGCGGTGGAGGGAGGGGAGATGAGAGGAGGATGGGGATGATAATTTCGACGGCTCATGCCCTTGAATATGGAGTTGCCCGAGTCGGCCTCGGCATTGAATATGTAGTGGCCGAGAACCCTCTGGCGCGCCGGTTCTAGGCCTCCTCGCCGCTGATCGTATCCGTCTTCATTGCCGCGTCGGGTGATGCCGAGCTGGCGGCCGCCCCGGTCGCGCCGCTCCTGATCGCTGTCGTCAGCTCTCGAAATTGCGAGCGAGTCTCCTCGGACTCCTTCCTCTGCTCCATCACCCGCTGGGCGATCTCCTGGCAAGCGCTCCTGGGTCTGGCGCAGCTCCCCGACCTCCCGGCCCGTCTTTCCCGCGTCGGCCCCGCGGGCCGGTGGGCTCTTGGCCACCGTGGGGGCCGCGCCTGGAAGGGGCGACTTCGCCAGCGACGTCTCTGGGATCGCGCGCGCCCTGAGGCGCCCTGGCCCCGGCACAGTTGAAGAACCTTGGCTGTGGGGAGGCCGCTGCGCCAGATTCTTCTCGACCTGCTGGTAATCCGAGTTCCTTGCCTTGATCGCCATTCTGATGTGGTGCTGGTCGTGATCCTCGAGACCCCCTCTATCTTGGCCCTCTCGCTCTTGAGCCTCATCTGGGCTGTCTCCTCCGGGGTGTACATCGTCGTCTCTAGCCTGGCGCCGCGCTTGCGGCGCTTCGCCCACCTGGCGCGCCGGTTGCCGCGCTGAGACCCGGCGCAGATCTGGCGGTCGCAGTCCTCCTCCTTGATCTCCTCGAGGGTGCCCGTCTTCAACCTCGGGGCCAGGCTGGCCAGTGGCCGCGAGTCCGCGCGCGCTCGCAACAGGGCCCACGAGGTCAGCGCCCATCTCCTCCAGCGGTGCGCCTATGGAGTCAGCGTGTAGCCCCCCTCGTTCATCGAAGCCTTCTCGATGTCGCTGAGCTCGCAGCCCGTGTAATCGATGTTCTACAGCTCGGTGTCGTGCCGCGGGTCCGGGGTGAACTCCCAGTTCGCCTCTATCTCGGAGTCCTCCTCCGCGGTCTCCAGGTCCGCGGGCGTCCCCAGCGTGGCGCCCAGTCCTGGCCGCCCGCCGTTTCCGCGCCCGGGCTGGGCTGGCGGCCCGCCCCGTTGCGGCGTTCTTGCTGCGCGGTCTTGACATCGGCCGAACAATGAGGCCCCTGATCGGCTCGAGGGGGCTGGGGGGCTACGGGGGGGGGCGCGATTCAACTCGGCCAGTCAGGTCCCCGGGGAAACTCCTGCTGATTCCCCGCTCAGAGAGAGGGGGGGGAGGGCTGACTGAAGCGACCTACCTGCCCTGCCTCCGTCGCGCAACGCCGCCCCGCGGCAGTCCTGAGACTGGCCCGTCGCGCTCGCTAGGTAGAAGTCCAAGTGGCCGCTCCAGTAGTCGTGCGTGCTAATATTCTCCTGGCAGTCGTTCCACTCGTGCTCGCAGAAGTGCTCGACCCATGCGTCGCGCTGATCCCTGAAATTGCAGCGCGCGGTCCGGTGGTCTCCTCGCTTCTTCAGATCGACCGGCAAGGTCCGGCCGGTAGTCGGGTCGAAGAGCTCCCTCCTGGGTCGCGCATGATGCAGGCGACGCCAGTCATCTAGCATTTCCCAGTAGTCCTTCTCCTCATCCTGGTTCGTCATCCAGGCGCCCTTTCCCGCGCGGGCTCCGTCGCGGGTGAAGCTCAGAAGCTTCGCCTCGAGAGTCGGGCCCAGTTTGAACTCGGACGACGGCAGATATACCAAGCAGCGCGATCGACCTGTGGCCCGGCGGAAGCTAGGTCATTGGGATCTCATGTTCGCCGGACTCTCCGAACCTGATCACGCGTGCCTTCATGTCTATGACTACGCCGAGAAAGTCTAAAAATCCCGCGGACATTCGGGGGGGCGTGCGTGTGGCAGAACCAGGGACTCCAGCGCGCCGCACCTGCAGAATGAAAGAGGTGCGAATCCGCCCGCCCACTCCGCTGGCGAAAAGCAGATCTTCCTCGTGCTTCACGTGGATGACGTGGCCTCTGAGGTAGAAAGCCTTCGCCATCGTCTCGAGATCAGGCTTTCCGACGAGGGCCTGCGCTGCTGCCGTGTCTACCAGTCTGTGATTCTCCATATCTCTCAAGATGGCACCCGAGAAGTTCACGTGCTTGTCGGGCGCCTGTTCCAGGAAAGTGGCCCGCGACGGCGCTGACGTTCCGAAAGGGTCAAACAAGAAATGGAAGTCGTCCACCATGCCAAGGTTGTTCGATGATCTCGTCTTTTCCGACTTCAGACGGTCCTCCTGTGATCGGCGTGGCTCCCTGCAGTGCTCTCTCCAATGGCCTGTTTTTTATACAATTTGTGATTCTGGTTCTCTTCTTGATGTCGTCCTTGGATATCCGGCGAAGGCCGGGCTGGGCTGAGGTGGGCGCGGAGGAGGCTCTCTTTTTGCCGAAGAAATCGCGCTCAACTTTCCGAGCTGCTTTCACCTGCTTGGCTTCCTTCCACGTTCGACGTCGCCTCGGAATCTGCCAGCTCTGCGAAAACCTCGAAGACCTCGTCCTCATGGAGCTCCTGAGCTCTTCCAGAGACGCGAGGAACGTGGACGCCTCTTCCTGGGAAAACTCGACCTCAAAGTGTCTCCTGAGCCGCTGATGTGTCCTCATCTGGTTTTTCGGTGACTGCGAAGGTCTTCATCGAGGGCTGAATGATCTTGGGCAACGCGTTCTTGTCCGTCACGTCTAGCTGCACTCGGAAATTTCCAGACCGAGCTGCTGGAAAGATCTCCCGCCATAAGAGTCCGAAGGTTCACGCGCATCTGTCCAGTCAGCTGTGAGTCTTCTTCGTAGTATCTGGCCTTGATATCGTCTGGAAGCGCCAGTCCTAGGGGCTCGGCTTGAAAGATCTGAGAGTCCCTCCTGATTACGAGCTCGGTGAGCGTCTCTCCTCGCGTGATATTGAAAAAGAGCTGCATTTTGGGCTTCCCGTTCTCTGTCGCCTGGTCTCTCTCCATTCAACAGTCTGAGATGCTGGATCAATGCCTTGACTCCGTCCTCTGTGTCCAGCGTGTCTCGAGCGCCCCTGGATTCTCCTTGAAACTAAATTGGGAAAATCTTCTAGGATCTTGGATGCTTCAGTTTCTGGTTGGTTCCTGGTTCTCTTTGTGCAGGACGCCAGTTTATGAAGATATGTGTCTACATTTTCCAGTCCAAGGAAGGGCGGTGGTACAGAGAAATCTCTGCTTCTCTCGGCCCGGCCTTTCCACGCGGTGCTCCAGTCGTTCGATCCCCACTGCGGCGTAGCCCACGACCGCGCTTGTTGCCACCACCACCATGCCTGATCATACCAAGTATGTTCGTCATTCTCAGCTGGAACATGCTCACCCTCTTCTTCCTCTGCCGTTTCGCCGCCGCCGGCAGTTTCGTTTGTGGTGGACACCAGGGTCATCGATATCGTCGAAACGCCCGCCGCCTGCCTGCCTGCCACCATTCGGGAACCACGCTCCGGCTACCATTGTTTGTGCAATCCCGTGAGGGGGTGGACATGTCTCCTTCTGGGCGATCGCCTCAACTAACCGCAAATCACTTGGGCCCGTCCATGACGGGCTGAGAGCCTAAAAGGCTATGGCAGACACATAGAGGGAGAAAGAGAAGAGGACAACGGGAACAACATCGCATTTTAAATTCGCTGGCCCTACGCAGCTCGAGGCCAGGGGGGAACCATCTAAAAGAGAACCTTGGGCCCCGGCCCTTTCTGGGAGATAATGAAATGTAGTCAAAAAGCCGTATCGCGACTACTTTTAAACTATTTTTGAATACTCCTCCTGTAGAGGGACATGCCCGACTTAACCTCATCGTTGCCCCTCAGATTCGGGGCGAGCTGGAGAAACACATTTGCCAACATTTGTTGCCCTCGTCCCTCGAGGGTCGGGGGGAAACTCTGGCAGACGTGACTCGGACGGGTCCAGGGAAATATTCGGCCGTTTATTATTAATTATGTTATTTCTGTTTATTTATTCATGTATTTATTTAACACTAGTGTTATAGCATGTAATTTATTATTACTACTACTACTCTTATTATTCGTGCTATTTTTATTATTAGTAATCTTATTATTGTTATCGTCATTCCTAGTATTGTAAGTAGTATTAATACTACTAGTATTATTACGATTGATATGGTTATTATTAGTATTTTTTATTATTCTTATTATTACTATTAGTATTATTATGAGTAGTAGTAGTAGTAGTAGTAGTAGTAGTAGTAGTAGTAGTAGTAGTAGTAGTAGTAGTAGTAGTAGTAGTAGTAGTAGTAGTAGTAGTAGTAGTAGTAGTAGTAGTAGTAGTAGTAGTAGTAGTAGTAGTAGTAGTAGTAGTAGTAGTAGTAGTAGTAGTAGTAGTAGTAGTAGTAGTAGTAGTAGTAGTAGTAGTAGTAGTAGTAGTAGTAGTAGTAGTAGTAGTAGTAGTAGTAGTAGTAGTAGTAGTAGTAGTAGTAGTAGTAGTAGTAGTAGTAGTAGTATGATTATTGATATTATTATTACCATCGTACAAAAGCATTAAAACACAAAGAAAAAACACCTCACTAGACCCCCCGAGGCCTCCAGAGGTCGCTGGGGGCCTCTGCAACCCTCCAAGGGTCAAGATCTGGGGTGGGAGCCAAGCCTGCCAATCACGTTCCTTATGTTTGGTCTTGGCTGCCGACCCTGTCGTGCGAGCGGAAATCGGGAGCGAGAAACAAAACAATATTCGGGCCTATGAGGGGGCACGAGTCGGCAGCCGCAGAGCACCCTGAGTGGAGGCGCGAGAAGTACACTTGTAGGGTGGCGCTGCTGTCCGCTAAGGGTATGCATGGCCCAGTCGAGGTCGGGTGGGGCTCATGGGCTGTCCTGGCGCACACGAGCTCAGTGGGCGCCTGTCATCATTCATACAGTTTCGTTCCCTTGAGAAGAGCACAATCAATCCTGCCACCGCTATGGCGCCGCGAGCTCACCATCGGGCACCACTCATCTAGCATAAACACTGTGATGGCAGGAGAGATAGGTGGTCATCGGAGGTAAAGCTGCATGCCTTCAACTCCTCCCGCTACTTCCGCTACGTTTGCCAATTCCGCCTCCGTTGCCGTTCACATCATTTCTCCACTTGCTATTTCTTTTCCTCCTCCTCCTCCTTATCTTGCCCTTCCCCCTTCACCTCTTCTCCTCGCATTCGTGCGGTCAACAACGAGCTCCGAGTTAAGGCTGCGCGCTGTCCCTGGCCAAGAGTCCACGACGATGCGCACGCAACGTATACAACCCATCGTTATCTCATATATCATCGGCCGCATTTCGGGTGATGAGGGGACTTTGGTGTGGGGGGGCTTCAGATGTCCCTTTTCAAGTCGATTGCAATTGAATGTGCATTTCGACGTGCACTTCGAGAGCAAATAGGCTTGCGCTTCGATTGACACTTCGATCCTTTCCGACTTGCATGTCGATTTGAGTTTCGATCTGCATTCCGCTTATACTTGGATTTGAATGTCGATGTACATTATGGTCTCGATTTTGTGCACATTGACATTTGGATTCTGATCTGCATTCAATTCTTACATTCTGGTGCGCATTTTATGATGCCAAATTCGACTCGCACGTCAATTTAGACTTCGACTTGTGGTGGCATCTGCAATTCGCTTTTTTTGCCCACGGGGCAGCCACAAGACAACCCTCTAGACAACTGCAGGACAACCAACAAAACAATGACCCGTCGGATAACCGCGGGACGTTCGTGGGACAACCACGGCGAGGAGGCGCGAATTGGGAACGCAGCCCAGCTGTTTGCACGACTTGGCCCTCACTGCGCCTGCGCATCGTCGCCCTCGCGCTGCGTGGGCGACGCCAACACGCACGACACACGTCGAAACCGAGACTGCTTGGTCGAGGCCACTCCGCTCCCCCCCCCCGCAGCCTTCGAGCATGGTCACCCTCGCGCCGCGAGGGCGACGCCAGCACGCACGAGCCGCATCGAAGCCGAGACTTCCTGCTCGAGGCCACTCACCCCCTAGCTTTCGACCCCTCCTCCTCCTCCTCCTCCTCTTCCTCCTCCTTCTCCTCCTTCTCCTCCTCCTCCTCCTCCTCCTCTTGCTTCCCTAACCTCCGTCTCCTCCCTCCTCGCCCGCCTCTTCCAGGGAGAGCCCTGGGCCGAAATTCCCAGATGGCGCAGCAATGCCGAGGACGCAGCAAGCAGAAATCGCTGCTCTTCATGGACTTGACGTTGAAGTATTTCAAGAGCTCCGTGTAATGCTGCTTGACTTCGTCCTTGGACGGGGACTGTGCGAAGGGAGGGAAGGGCCATCCAATACAGACGTCCTCATGAGGTGTCCGAGGGTGCTCCTGACAAGGTTGGGGCTCAGAGGGCCGAAATGCTAACTCATTGTGCGCAAACCTACCCGTCCTACTTCAAATAACGCTCTCAACTCTGCATCGGCCGCCAAACTTCGTCCCCGTTCATCGCCAACATGTCGCAATACAATGCCTGTGTAACCATAAGGTGTATGCGTTCCGTCACAGTGTGTGGCCGCTGTCAAGAGGATACGTGCGCTGGCGTCTCTCGATTTCTTCTCTACATGAAAGACGATGTCGTCCGCAAAACCAATCGCAATACATTGCAACATGTGGGACATCCACTTGCCGACGAACAGCGGAACAAGAAAACCATGCTTCCGATCGAGTCGAAGTACGCCCAGGGGGGCACCAGAGGGGTGAATGCCCCTTCCTCCTGAGAAGTGTCAGGTGAGGTCGGAATTCAAACGGACGCAGCGCTTGCAGCAGCCCTTGACAGACCTGGCCTCCTCCAAGGAATTCTGGGAAGGCGCGCGCTCCTTCGATGCCCCCCAGCTCTTGCCTGGACATCCGCCCTCCATACCCCCTGATCCCACAATCTCCTTCAACTTGACGAGAGACTCGATGGAGCTCTTCGCCTCCGCGAACTCTTGGGGCATGCGCAGCCTGAAGGGGTCTGCGGGGTCCTCGCAGTGCTGCAAGATCATGGTCCTGGCGGCAGGAAATCACACGTGTCGTGGCGTCATGTGAGGGTAGCGCTTTCAGAATCGCGTCCTGGGATGGTCTTCCCTCGGCATTTGCTCTTAGGGGAACCATCTCGGGCCTCGGATATTGTTTCGGCCATTCTTATCGTGTGGGCCGGCTCCTGGGGGCTGAGGTCGAACCACCTACTAAACTCGTTCAGGATGCCCCAACTTCTGCCCTTCAACCACGCGAAGAGGCACGAAGAAATTCGGAGAGAACGTCTCAACATCGGGGTAACCGGGCGGACAGAACGAGCGGAATAGAAAGAGAAGGAGGTGTGGACGAAGGGTGCTGACTGTTCAAGCTTCTCCCGCCCCAAAAGCAAGGCTGTCATGATCTCGTTCTGCTTGTTGAACTCCTGCTCCAGCACCTTCACGCAATTATCAAAATCCTCGTAAGTGATGCGGGCGGACTTCGACAACTTCTCCGTCCCGCTGGAGTCTTTGGCCAACCGCCTTCGGGGCTGGTCAAACTTGCCCAGCACGCAATATTCCGCTTATTGCGGAACGCTTCGAACGACATTTGTCACGAGGATATTTCAACGCCCAGTGGGTGGGCTGTCTCTGTGTGCCCGAGACAACGAAGCGAGCGCCACAGACAACGAAGCGGGGGGCACAACGACAGAGGCCACGCATACTGCTGGGATGCACTCGACTGCATCACGCTCGGGGCTGCGAGCCGAAGTCTGGCTTCCAGCTAGGCTGATGTGTGATCGGGTAAATTGACAAAAGTTGCGAAGAGCACAGCACGACATCACGCCACATCCTTTTATATTGCGACAAGCAAGACCCATGTAATATATGCGGGGTGGTGCCGTGCAGGCAGAAAAGTGGTAGGACACATCATAAGTTGATCAACTAGTTTAAACAAGCCCGGTAATTGGCATAGATGGGTTCGACCTTCGCTAGGCTGGTCTAAGCTGAGCCACACAAGCAGCACACATAACAAAGGTAAACATAGTGGTACCTAATCGAGCAACGTTGATGTACGCACGTCTACCTACGCCGCATGGCCACAAGGTGAGTAACACTAGCGCTGTATGTCGCGTGACGATTTCGAATCAGCGCAAGTCGAGCTGACCTGAGCTTATCCAGCTGAACAGCCAGGACGATGACTTTTTGTGCGTAGGCCAGATTTCCACGCGGTCGGATAACAATCTCCCAATTGGAGGTCTGCCTACGTCCAAGGATCCTGCCAGACCAAGGTCAAGATCACGCCCGCACCACGCCAGCCCCAACGCGAGGCTGTGCTGGGGAGGCGCATGCGCAACGATTACGCGTAGCTGGCCTGGCGCGCAACATGGGCACTCGGTCGAACATGCGCCCAAACGCTGGGGAATTGAAATACTGATTTGTCCTGTGATAAAATAGCGCTGGGACATCGGGGTTCGCAATGCTTCCCCAACTCCGAACAAAAAACCCTTGCTGCACCCCGCGCAAGCGATTGCGTCCGCAAACGCCCAGAAAGCCGAATCCATTCTGGGAGGCCATATGCCAGTCCCGCTGGCGAACCGTTGGTATACCTTTCGGTATACTGCGCACCTCTCTTCTCTCCGTCACGTCCCTCGCTGTCGTTCCCTTTCGGTATATCCTGCTCATCGGGTCCATTTGCACAGTGGGGTGGATGGTGGGTTGGGGTCGGGGGTGGTGGGAGGGAATGGGAGGGAGGGGGAGGGAAAAGAGACTGGGCCTGGAGACGTTCATGAACAATGGGTTCATCTCTTCCACGAACTCGGCAGCTTTCTCCGCCATCTCCTCGAAGAGTACCCGGAATATGAAGCTCCTCGCGGCAACTGTGGAGGTCGGTGAGGCCCCGCGCCGATGCAAGGAGGAGGAGGGGGAGGAGGAGGAGGAGGAGGAGGAGGAAGAGGAGGAGGAGGAGGAGGAGGAGGAGGAGGAGGAGGGAGGGGGAGGAGGAGGAGGAGGAGGACATCGTTTCCACGAGCCTAGCGGAAGGGATCGGAGGGATGGGGGGGAGGCCGAGCATGGCCCACGGGTGCAGCACTCCAGGAAGCTGTCAGAAAAGGGGGCCGAAGCCACGGCGCCGCTCTTGTGCATGGGCATCGCGGTGCAGAACTCTCTCCTCCTCCTCCTCCTCCTCCTCCTCCTCCTCCTCCTCCTCCTCCTCCTCCTCCTCCTCTCCTGCGGTCCTCCTCCTCCTCCTCCCCCTCCGCCATGGCGGCGTCGTGCAACGTAGCGCGGGATGGGACGCGGGGGAGGAAGAGGAACCCACTGGCGGCGTAGCGGCTGTGGTTACCGTGGCCGTCGCAGTGCCACCGCATCAATGTCGACGACATTGCCTTCATCGGCGACCATCCCGCCAACGACCGCTCGACAATACTCAGCAAGGCTGCGCCGTAGCGTGAGAGGGCAGGAATGCTCGGCGCTGGTCGTAGCGAATTCTGTGGTCGTGCTGGCGTGGGCACTCTCAAGCCAGAGTGGTGCGATCTATCATGTCCTCGAGGTCAAGATCGACGGCATCATGACCTCCGCCGACATACAAGAGCGTGGAATGGAGGATGAGGGGGATGGGGAGAAGGATAACAGAAACCATGTTGAGGACAAACGACGGAGAAGAAACAGAGAAAGCGGTCGAACAGAACAATGCGAAAACTCGCTCGGGGAGTGTTCCCGCTCTTGCAGCTCGCGCGCGGGCGTCCTGATGTCGTTGCCCTCAGGGTCCTTGATGCTCTCAATCTTTTCCAAGGCTTCGAGGTCGAAGCCATCTGCCTGCCCCCTGTTGGTGCCGCCGTTGAGGTAGTTTCCTCCCCGCCCTTCCCTGATCGACGGGGATCACTTCCAACTAAATCGTTGTTCCAATGAGGGCGCCTGCCTGCCAGCCGTTTGAATTGCCGTTGAGACTGCTCCATTATGGTTCTTCCTCAGTGGCTGAACCATGTTATCAGACAAGGCCTTCGGGAACACGCCCGTTCCAGGGCGGCTGCAGACCCTTCACCTCCTCCCTCCCCGTCCCCCCCTCATCTTCTTCGTTGAAGTGCGAACTCTTCGGCCACCCACCCAGACCAATCCCGAACGCGAGGAGGAGGAGGAGGAGGAGGAGGAGGAGGAGGAGGAGGAGGAGGAGGAGGAGGAGAGAGACGAAATAATCGGGCACGGGGAACCCGGGTTGGCCTGAAGGGGCCATCATATAAAAATGACGGGACCCAATCTAAAATTTGACGCGAACTCCCGCTGCAAACATCCCACGAAAACTGGACCGTCAAAATCCAGGACGCGCTCGTAAAAAAGCGTCGGCAAACCCGAGTTCCGGCTTGCTCGAGTCTTACGTCTCCCTGGGAGGATGAGGAGGAGGAGGGGCAGGGAGGAGGAGCAGGGAGGAGGAGGAGGAGGGGGAGGGTGGTAGAACAGGAAGCAGCTGCGTAAACATAAACTTTCGGAGCTCCGCGCGGATCGGTGCTGGACCCTCTCTCCCTAGCGTGCGGGGCGAGCGCGCCAGGGGCGGCGGCGGAAGCGCCGCCAAGGGGGCCCAGCGCCGATCCAAGAGTTCCGCGCGGAGCTCTGACGGTTTCTGTTTACGACGTTTTGATCCTCGGGAGAGCGAAGGAGGAAGTGGAGGAAGATGAGGAGGAGAGGGAGGGGGAAGGGGAGGAGGAGGAGGATGATGATAACGAGGAGGCTCACCAATGTGAACCAACAACGTATCAGCGAAATTAAAATACACCCACCCTCCACATTTCCGCTTCTTTTGTCCCTGCGAGAATATGTTTTCGTTGCGGGAGGTGGCCAGTTAGAAGGCAGCCATCTGAGAATGCTCAATCGTACCTAAACGCAGTTCCTGGGACTTCAACGTCGTGATCGGAATGGCAGCTGCGCCCTGACAGCCTCAAATCGTGCGAGGACCCCGTTGCGGGACACCAGCACCGCGAATGAACGCGACTCTTGCATCCTGACAACCCACCAATCGTGCCAGAACGCCATTCGGTGACTTCAGCAATGCGAATCTATGAAAGGGTTCCACGCTTATAAGACACATGTGCGCGGAGCTAAGGCGAGAGCTACATTTTGAGAGGGACCCATCTCCATCCTTGAAATTTGTGCGAACTTTTGATACGAGTGTGCGCGGCGCTAATGCGACAGTCACATTTTGAAACGACCCGCCCTTCCTTCATCCTGAAAGCTTTTGCAAACTACTAGCACGGATGTGCGCGGCACTATGGCGTGAACCACATTTCGAGAACGACCCGCCCTCCATCCGTGAAGCTGATGCAACCTGTTAACACGACTGTGCGAGGCGCTAAGACGGAAACAAACTTTGAATACGACCTACCTTTCATCCGTGAAGCTGTCCCGACCAGAACCACTATGTCCAGCGCTACGGCGACACTGCATTTTGAAAGCGGCCCGCCCTCCATCAGTGAGACAGTTGCGAATCTTAACCTTCAAGATCGTAGATGGTGCGGACGTCTCATGCGAATCGCCCAGCCCGCCCTGCCGACGTGTCTGGGGGTGCGCAGGGAAGACTTATTATTCAGAAGGAGCAGGGATGGAAGACGAGGGCGACGAGGGGGAGGAGGAGGAGGAGGAGGAGGAGGAGGAGGAGGAGGAGGAGGAGGAGGAAGAGGAGGAGGAGGAGGAGGAAGAGGAGGAGGAACAGGTGAAGGAGGAGGAGGAGGTGGAGGAGGAGGACGAGGAACAGGAGGGGGAGGAGGAGGAGGAGGCGGAGGAGGAGAGGGGGAAGAGGAGGATAATGAGGAGGAGGAGGAGGACGACGAGGAGGAGGAGGAGGAGGAGGAGGAGGAAGAGGGCGAGGGGGAGGAGGAAGAGGAGGACGAGGGGGAGGAGGAGGAGGAGGAGGAGGAGGATGAGGAGGATGAGGAGGAGGAGGAGGAGGAGGAGGAGGAGGAAGAGGAGGATGAAGAGGAGGAGGAGGAGGTTTCAACAGGCGCGGTGGCTAGCGTGCGGGCGCGGCTCGGGCGCGAGCCGACATGGAGAACGGGTGCCCGAACACCCCCCGACGGACGTGCCCAGCAGGGGCGGCAGGCCTCCGACCGGGGCGTCGAGGACGACGTCCGCGAACGGCCGTGGTGGAACCTGGCCGCTGGCCGAGCGCATCCGCGGCAGGCCAGTGCGCGTCCGCGGGGGAACGGCCCCAGGGCAGGGCTGCGCGAGGAGCTGGGCGTTCGTGCTCGAACGCGCCCCGCGCCTCGTGCAGGAAAAAAAGGAAGAAACCCCGCGCTCCGCGCGCGGTGGCCCCCGCCTGGGGCGCACGCCGCGGGGGGGGGAAGGCGTCGCGGGCGCTCGCGGGGCGGTAGCAGCGCGCGCGTCGGAAGCCCTTGCCGCGCAGCGCAGGCTCGTGGGAGCCGTCGGGCGGCGCCGTGTCCGCCGTCAGCTCGGGGATGCGCCCTCGCTGCTGAGCGCGCCAAGGGGGGCCGTGCCGCGGCGCACCCCGCTGGCTCGGGCCCGCTGTCCGTGCGACCCGAGCCAGAAACGTGGCCACGAAGGTCACGGGCCGGGAGGTGCGCTTCACGCGCTCCGTCGCCGCCTCGTGGGCCGGGTGGAGGGAAGCGCCCTCTCGAGCAGCGCGGTCGGCAAAGTGGTTGTCCCAGCGCTTGGCCATGCCTCCCTTGACGTCGCCGTCTTGGCCGCGGTGAGCATGGCCTTTAACCTTGAGCGCCTCCACCCCGCCCCCAAAGTCGTCCACCCGACCCCGCATGCGAGACCAGAGATCCGCTGCCTCGCACTGTGCGCCCGTCGTCTTGGCGCGCCCACGCGCAAAGCTCGAGGCGACCCGCGCGCAGTCCGAGCCTCCGCGAGGTCCGACGCCTGGCGCGGGCCTGGAAGCAAGCCGCGCAGGGAAGCGCCCAGGGGGCCAGTGGCGTCAACCTGGGCCACAGACCAGCCCGCTCTAGCGAGTCGGGGGTCGCCCTGCACTATAGACGCGCAGGAGCCGTCACCGAAGGGATGGGGGGGAGGTCGCACGCCCGCACGATGGCCCAGGCCGCCGAGCACAGTTCAGGCACACCCAGGCCGAGAAGGTTCCTGGGCAGGACCCGATGCCGCAGAGGGGTCAGGTCGCAAGACCGTGACGATGCTTCCGAGCCTGATCCCACATGCCTTTGGCTACAATCGCACGGAGGGTCGCCTGATGCCGCGAGGTCCAATCTGGTCCCAGCGCTCCGTTGCACAGGCGGCGGGGGGGGGGGCGAGGTAGGGTCGGGCAGGCAGGGCGGCCATGTATTCAGAGTTCTGCTGAGCTCGGTCAAGCAGCCAGATCCTCGGTGCTCAAGCGCGCGAGGTGGAAAACGGTGCGAGGGCAAGTGGCCGTCAGGTCAAACTTGCAGCCCTCGCTGGTCACTGACAGGCAGACACCAGGGCCGAGCCTTCACCCTATGCGTCTACAGCAGGCCAGGGCAGCTGAAATCGGTCCACGAACCAGGGCCCAAACGCTTTTCATACCGGCGTGGGCCTCGTAGGCCGCGTCCGTGGCAAACGAAAACTGGGCGACCGCATCCCGAGGAATCCGCGACTCCCAGACAGCCAGCGCCAGCATGTGGATAGGGCCTACTGTGCTCGCATACGCTGGGTCTCATCGGTTCGATCCCACTCCACGCCCTCCCGGTCACACCATCCCCCCGAGTGCCAGCAGGCGTGAGGCCGAGCGAAACGAGCTGTTGCGTTTTGCCTCTTGCGGCTTGGATCGCTCGGATGCGCGGTGCGCGCCGCGCCGCCGTGGCCATCATCTCGGCCCACGTGGCGCCTCCGGGGCGTCGGCCGCAGCCGTAGTCCACGGCCAAGTTCCTGGCGGACCTGCGGCACTTGCCTCGCAGCGCCGGGCAGCGCCGCATGACCTCGCGGCTGCAGTCGGCGTTCTTGGCCAGCACCACGCCCTTGCCGTCGTTCGCCGCCAGGCCGTCTTCGAAGTGCCCGCGGCGCAGCTGGCCGTGGGCGTCGCTCACCTGGCCAGGTCCGTCCGGGCGAGTTGGATGTCGTCGACCGCGCTGCTGACCGCCAGGGTGCGGAGCGCGACGATGGCGTCGAGGCGCGGCACCAGGAACATCCTCGTGCAGAGGTCGGCGAAGCTGCATCCTGCCACCGCGCCGCGCCGAGGGGCGCGGGCGGGCGTGGCCACGTCCTGAGAGCAGACGATGCGCGGCGTGCCGTGCTGCTCGAGGAGGAGGCGCAGTAGCACGAGGTTGAAGTTCATGGCCTCGGCGCGCTGGGTGAACAATGCCCGCGGAATGTGCTCGCGCGCCCTCGTGAGGTCCATGAGGGTCTATACGGATACTTACTGCTACTGCGCGTCCTTGTATGACCCGTGGTGGGGACTGTCTGTCTATGAAGCTCTTCTCGGGGAACCGCTTGTTGATCACGATGACCTCTTCAGCGTGATTGTTGGTACGAGGGCCTCGTCCGTATCCTTAATTGAGCACATACTGTTTGTTGGTTTTGAGATGGTCAGCCTCGCTGTTGTTGTTGTTGTTGTTGTTGTTGTTGTTGTTGTTGTTGTTGTTGTTGTTGTGCTGTCTCCACCGCGTCGCTGGTAGCATGAGTACGTCCAGCACCTCGTTCATCGTAGACACTTCGAAGCATCTGAAAAAAGGGGCCACCATTGTTATTGGGTTGTAGACGCCCCATCTGATGAATGGAATTCAGGGAAGCATAAGCGATAACTCCAACCGAGCTGGCAGTGACATGGAAACACCAGCCCAGCCGGAGCTGCTCTGCGGGGAGTGCCTGGTGCGGCCGCGTGCGGATGTGGCATGAGCAGGGGAGCGGCGGCTGACGAGGATGAGGGGGGGGAGGAGGAGGAGGAGGAGGAGGAGGAGGAGGAGGAGGAGGAGGAGGAGGAGGAGGATTATTAATAATACTAATAATATTAATAATAATAAAAATAAGAGTAAGAGTAGTAATAATAATAACGATAATGATAACAATAATGATAATGATAATGATGATAATAATAACATTAACAATAACAATAATAATAATACTAATAATAATAATGATAATAATAATACTAATAATACTAATAATAATAATACTGATAATAATAATACTAATGATAATAATACTAACAATAATACTAATAATAAGAATAACAGTAATACTGATGATAAGAATAAGAAGAAAAACTCGCCCCAGCCGCTCCCACTGCGAGCGTCAGGCCGAGCACGGTGTGCAGCGCCTCGGCCTCGCCGAAGGCCCTCACGACCTGGGTCGGGCGCCGTCCGCGGGGGGCGCGGCCCGCCCCCCCAGCTCCCCTAAGAGACCCCTTCCAGGCGTTGTCAGTACTTCAGATCTCGTAATGAAGGGAGGGGGGTCTCATTTCGGGGGGGGTCTCCAAGACGCCCCCAAGGGGCCCCAAGACGCCTCCAGAAGGCCTCCAAAAACTCTCCAAGAAGCCTCCAAACGGCCCCATAGAAGCCCCCCAAAGGCCACACAGCGACTGGGGTGTACTGTCATTCTCCCCCCCTGAGCGTGGCGTACACAGTCAGCCCGCACAGGCAGGGATGGGCCACCTCCCCAGAGGGGGGGGGGGGTACTCCAGATTTCGTAACAAAAGGGAGGGGGGTCTCATTTCGGGGGGGGTCTCTTCCAGGCTATCTTGGAGGGCCTGGGGGGCCTGGGGACGGTGTTTTGGAGGGCTCTCCCACGGGGGAGGTCTGAAATGGCTTGTCTTGGAGGGTCCAGACCCCCTCCCTTTAATTACGAAATCTGGAGTAGCTGCAGAGAGGGGGCTGGGGGGCTAATCCCCCAGAGGCGCCCGGGAGGCCTCAGGAGGCCCCCAAGAGGCCCCCCAAAAGGTCCCCAAGAGGCCCCAGGAGGCTCCCTCGAGGCACCGAGGACGCTCCAAGTGGCCCCCGGGACCGCCACGAGGCCCCCAAGACGCCTCGAACTTCAAGAACCCCTCGAGAGACATCCGAAGAGGCTCCGACAGGCATCCCAAAGGCCTCTGGCCTTTCTGCTCGCCGTCATCTTCTTCGTCTTCCTCCTCCCTCTCCTCCTCATCATATCCTCTTTCTCATCCGCCTCTTCCTCCTGCTCCTCCTCCTCCCTTCTCCCTCCTCCCCTCCCCCTCCCCCTCCTCCTCCGATTACTCCTGCATCCTCCCCCGCTTGGGGTGGTACAGCTTCGCCAGCCTTTTAATGTCCACTGCATGTTCCTCCACATCCCTGATCAAGGCAACTCGCCTGGGCACCGTTCCTAGATGGGCTGGTGGGTTGACGCGAAACGACTAGACTTTGACTTTTCGTCGTTTTTATAATTAATGGTCCCGGGTTGGTTTAGAATCGTCTCCGACGCTCCCACATCTGACCCATGACGGTCCGCAAGGTGCCCCAGACTGCATCCAAGCTTTCCCAATCACTTTCCTTGCAAGCCTCCGGGGTGGACCTAAGACGCCCCAAGAGCGCTCCAAGATGGCTTCGTCATGCCCCACGATGGCCCCCAGACGGCCCCTGGGACCTAGCACTCAGAACTCCGTGTCCCCCCGCGACATCTTTGAACCATCCCCAGAAGGTGCCACCTCTGAAGGGAGCGCCGCATCTTTGGGACATCCAGCTCCCATGCAAACTTCACAAGCATGCGAGAACGATGCCACGCGTTGCAAAGCACCTGTGCATCTGCCCACAGTGCGTTCTCTGTTCACCTCGCCCTTATCCCCAAACTCAGTGGCACAGAAGCGCGGCAACGAATTTGTCACATCTTTCTGCAGCAAACAGAGCCGCTCCAAAGAAATGCCTCGCAGAGTGTCGGACAAGGCTTTCGGCCGAGCGCGGCCTCGATCTGCCTCCACTCAAATGGTGACCTAGCCCCTCCCCCTGCAACCTTACTTTATCTATATTGGGCAAGGGGCCTGTACACAAGCGAACAACATCTAGCACTCGTGCCGCATATGGCCCAATAGTTACCTTCCGCAAGGATTCAACAACTAAAAGGCATGGAGGTTGAGCGGCTGGGTGTGGACATCTCTGAAGTCGGAGAGGTTCGCCCTGAATTGCTCTTCCTGCTCCTTGTACGTGCGCACGAAATGCCATAACTCCTCCCCTCAACCAAGCTGGCCCGACGCTGTGGCCCGAAAGAGCGGTAACACGCTGATCTGGCCACCGCCCAGGAAGGGAGCAATAGAAGCAATAGCAACTCGGGCAATGAGGGAGGCGATCGATATCGGAAATACCTCTGTGGAGTGCAGGGACCAAACAAAGCATCACAGGGGGCCCAAGCCTCATGATAACATTCGTGCCTGCGTTGTCTCCGAATCCATTACCCTGGCCACCCCGTCCCGGGATGATCACCCCTCGGCACATGTGAATGTAGGGGGGCATCGGGTTTCGAACATCAGCTGTCTTCTGGCTGGTCGCTTCTTGCATGCCGCTCTCTTGGAGTGCGCCCGTAAAGCATGTGCGCGCATCCCGAGACCACACGGACAACTATGAACATTCCAACACGCAGGCATGGAAAACTGAATCATACTATCACAAACTGATGGCACATGCTTAATCCTGCGCTTTCCCGGAAAAAAAAGTTCATCACGTACGTCGTCAACGCCGTGCTGCAAATCGTGATGTCATACCTTATTCCGTGGCGCAGCAATCCCACCAGGTCTCTGGATATAAATGGTCTAAACAACTCGTTCTGCTAACCCCCTTCTTCGCCTTCGGGAACGGGGTCCCCCCTACCCCTCCCCCCCCCTTGGGTCTGCAGGGGGCGTTCCGCGAGGGGCTGGGGCGTCCAAGATGGCGAAAGATAATTTCAAGAGGGCTAAAGAGCTCAAGCTGGCCACTAAGATCACTCCGGATAGCCCAAGGCGGTTCAAAACAGCTTCCAACATGCCTCCACAAGGCTTCAAGACAACCCATGGACGGCTCCAAAAAGTCTCCGAATCTCCCAAGGAGGCCCCGCAAATGCCAAACTCCTTTCAAGATCTAAGGGCAATTTGTTTTGTTTTCTCGCTAGATCGCTTGAGATGGGACTTTGAAGTTTGTAGACGGCTCCAATGTGGTCCAAGAGGGCCCCAAGAGGAGCCCAATACGGCCCCAACAGCGCCCAAGATCGCCTTAAGAGCGTCACAAAAGGGCACCCAAATATCATTTTGAGGGCTCCGATGACCGATAGCTTCCAACATGTCCCCGAAGGGGCTCCCACGTCTTCCTAGATAGGCCCAAGAGACCCCGAAGAAGGTCTCAAGATGGGCCCAGTAGGCCCCCAAGAGCGTTCCAATAACGCGAAAATGGCTTCCAAAACGGCCCCCGAATGGCCCCGAAATGGCCCGAACATGGCACATCCCTGTTCAGGGCAACTCGCGTGTTGACTACTTTGGGATTGGCTGGTGGGGACACTTTTTGTTTGCGGGCGCGCGAAGCAAATCGAACGCCGAGCGTGCTACGGCGGGCCGCGCCGGTTGCGAAAGAGAAGCAGTGCAGGCGCGCACGCCGCGGCACCGGCCAGGCGAACAGGCAGAAGGGCGTGCCGAAGACGAGGACAACGTAGGCGCAGCCAGCGTGGCGACCGGGAAGTACGGGAAGAACACGAAGAGGACGCTGGAGACGAGAGCAGAATGGTGGCGGACAGGCTCACCGTGTGCCGGAAGTAGTCGCAGCCAAAATGGCGCGAGAAGGCGGCCAGGTGGCAGAAGAGGTTCACTGTGAAGAGGAACCTCTTGACTGAGACCGAGCGTCCCAAGCAAAGGGGTTCCTCTTCCCGAGCCGTGAAGCTGAACCTTTTGGCTGGTGGGGACATTTTTTGATCGCAAAAGAAGCGGAAGTGCCGAACGCCGTCAGGAAGTCGTAACACTCTAGCTATGGCCTAAATTGCGCAAGCGAAAAGGAGAAAGACAGGGACAACGAGAGAGAACGAGAGAACAGCGGGGAGGAGACAACAGGAGGCAGGCCTCGCTGCCGCTTAGAAGTGCGCTTTCGTCTGGGGGGTGAACCGCCAGCGGGTTGCAACGCCAAAATGGCGGAAAAGGAGTTCAGGTTGAGCGACTCCGCGAGCATGCCAGTGAGTAGGCGCACAACGAAGAGCAGGCGCCAAGGACCAGCGGGCACACCGTCGCATGGGTAGCGAGCGCCCTCCACGCGTATCCAGCCGTCAACCAGCTCACATGCAGGTGCTCGACGGACCAGAGTCCGGATCGCCAGACACCGCCAGAGACTGATGTCGAAGTCCCGCCCCACGAAACGGGGAATGCAGGCAGACGCAAAACTGGTGGGGACACGCGGAGCGTCAAGAATTCAATGGCAGTCGGCAAGAATCGCCAGCGACATCACCACGACTAGGTCCCGCTCCGAACGCCATGCGTCGTCAGGTTTTTCGCCATGCAAACGTATCTGCCCTGCTGCCTCAACCGTTACACGAATCTCCCATCTGGGCGGCTACTTCTGTCATCGCCGACCAGATCAGCATCATAATCTCCACCCTCGAATGCTACCCCCCCTCCATGCGCTGCTTACTTGCGGGTAATTGCCCAATCACCCACATGTACTGCTCGATTAACGCGAACGGCACGTCCTGAGCCCGCTCACGTGGATGGTATGCGGCCACGGAGTTGGAAGAGCTGGAAGTAAGAGAAAGGGCATGTAGCGAGACCCAGCCACCTGCCACTTGAGAAATATACTACTTGTTGCTAGGTACAGCTGGCAATACAAGCATCTACAAACATGGATTGAAAGCCAAGATGCAAAAACACATGAGGGGAATCCGCTACCCCCAGAAACAAGAGGGGGTAAAAGCGTGGGCGGCACTATGCCGCACTGTCACCCTCCGTCACTGGGTCGAGACCCCAATCTTTGACGCCGCACCTGGGGGGCAAGCCATTTGAGACAGAGACGAGGAAACGACTCCGTGGGAGGGGCAACGATGGAAAGGGTAAGGGTAAGCGACTCCGAACACCCCCTCGGCCCACCAGCATGTCCGGCGCGAGTGGGCGCGGGCTTCTCCCGAGGGCTGACGTGTGGAGTGAGACCCACTGCCCACCGAAGGCCACCTCCTCCCGCCTCGAGAGGAAGGGGCGGCATGGAAGAGCCCGCTGGCAGAAGGGCGTGCCCTGCGTCTGGCCCGTACTGCCTGGGAGGCGGCACGGCCACGGTGGCCTGCCTGGCCTGCCCTTGGACGGCGTGGTGGAGACGGCATCGGTCCCCAGCCCCAGCAGGCAAGACGAGGGGGGGATGGAATCGGCCACCCGCAAGAGTGACCCCAGGGACAGGGCCCCCATCCACGGGGGCACAGCTAAACCGCGGCCTCATGTTTTTCCATATGCCCCGCTTACTATGCCCCTATCTGCGGAGCCCAGGGCCCTCCTGAACAGGGGCATAGCCGAACGCTGACATCGGCGTTCCCCGTGCCTCCGTTTGCTATGACCCCGTCTCTGATGCCCTGACCTTTGGTGCGCGGCTTTAGCCTGGGGGGGGGAGGGGTTGGGTTGGGGGGAGGGAGGGGGCAAATGCACGCGCGCCTCGACTACACGCAAGAAAGACCCTGGGAAAGAGTGACCTTCGGTGCGCGGCTTTAGGGGACCGCGAAGGGCCCGACTCCCTGCGCGCGAGCCGATGCTGGGGCCGCCCCTGTGAGCCTGCACCAAAGGCCACTCCTGCGAGAAGCCACTCTTGCGCGAAGCCGGCGCTGAGGAGGCCCGGTGTGACCCCCCCAAGGTCACCGCGGCGAAGGGCCACTCTTGCGCGCAGCTGGGGAAACAAGGGGCGGAGGAGGAGGAGGAGGAGGAGCTGGGGAAACAAGGGGCGAGGAGACGCCTCCCTCCCGGCACGCGGCCCCCCCCCCGCTGCCGCGGCGCTCCGGCAGCTTCTTCCTCTCCTCCGCGAGCCTGCCAAACCTCGGGGGGGGGGGGGCCAGGCCGCTGCCGCGGCGCGCGGCTGCGCAGAGCATGCGGCTTGCATCGGGCGTGCCCCTCGCGCTCCTCGCCGATCCGGCGCGTTGTGCACCGGTGTCTGTCGTGCTCTCTCGCCTTCTGCATGGACATGTGCTTTGTAATGCTCTCTCTCTCTCTCTCTGTCTCTTCCCAACTCATCTTCGAGCCTTCCACCTCCATCTCTGGTGGCTACACGCCGTTGTTTACCATACCTACAATCTATATAATTATACTTATGTAGATGTGTCAATATATGTGTATTGAAATTTCGTATATACACATATCTACTTATGCGCTTGTTTCAAAATGCCTCAAACGTGTGGAACACTACTGGGGGCTAAACTTCTGACTGTAGGGGCTGTTTGCAGGTGTGAGGTACATGCTACGGCTGCTGCTGCTTATCCGCCACGGGGCCGCATTCACTCAGGTGAATGTCCGCAAACTCCTTGCAGTGGTCAGTATTGAATGTGAACATGCATGCGTGTGTTTCTGAATTCCGCAAATTCGTGGCACACTACTAGGGGCTACCCTCTGACTCTAGGGGGCTGTTTGCAAGTGTTAATCTCCAGTCGGCACGCCCATCGTGTTTCCTAGCCAGGCGGACTCTTGGGACATCCGCAGGGCGTCGTCGTGGGAAAAATCCCAACTAATTTTGACAATTCATGGAGCAGCCCTAGCTGCGTCAACAAAATAGGACGCACGCCGGGGCTCAACCCCTCTTGCGCACACCTCAGAAGCCGCAATTCCATCTGACCGGGGATTCTCCAAGACTGTGACGTTTATTGGCTTTCTGGGTTGCTGGGTGCTGCCCGTGCGATCTTCACAACAAACAGCCTGCAACAACCGTTGGGATGCTATTCGGCGCCGCCGGACAGGAACTCGTCAGGAGCGGGGCATCCGTTCTCTATGAGGATCTTCAGGTGCTCTATGTCTAATTCGTCGTCCAGCTCCTCTGAGGTGTGAAATCAGGGCTCGATGAGCAATGACGGGAGGGGGGGATGGGATGGGAGAAGGTACACATACAAAGATGTGTTTGTACTTCGCTGGAGCAAATCGCGATTCACGTCCACGGACATGCCAATCCGTGTGTGATTTACTGGATCAACGGAGCACGAAAATAAACGGGTCCTACGCGAAGAGGACATAACGACTTCACGCCGCGGCTCACGCGGGACGCAAGCGCGGCACACCGCGTGAGGAAGAAGGCGCTAACGCGCGACCCTGCGCTGGAAGCTTTCGCGCGAATGTCCGCGCAATCGACCGCGTTCTCTTCCGTCGCTCATTTGGCTGCTCCCGTCCCCCCATGATCCAAACTCCTGTTAGAAAGCCCCGCTTTTTGGGGAAGGTATGAGCACCTCAACGAACTTCCCGGGCCCTCAGAATCTCCAAATCCACCAACCGACGCTTCCAAGAGACCTCAGAGAAGAGCTCAAGGCCCAAGGAGAGCCCGTCACCCCCGACACCTCAAATCATGGGAACAATATGTCTGACCTTTACTGTCTCGCCTTGTTGCTTCTGGACTTCTCCGAGATAATCCAGCAGGTCTCCAAGAGGCCCCAGACAGCCCAAGATGCCTTGACTATGCCCCCGGGATGGCTTCAAATAGCCAGAATAGCCAGGGACCCTCGAACTGCCAGGTGGGGCTGTCAGGGTCCGATCTTGGGAGCCTCTTGGGAAGCCATGGGCGCGCTCAAGACCGAGAAGGCGACAGTGTTAAAATCATTGAAACCCGAACCATGATATGTGATTGTGGCCTTCTTGTCGTGAGCTCTCCTGGACCACGTTCAGGGTATCTCCGGAACCCCTGGACAGATATTGGAACCTTGTTGGGCCGCGCCCATGCCTTCCCAAACCCCACCGCTCTCCGTCCGTCCACTCCCCTCTTTCTTTTTCGTCTTCTCTTTTCTTTCATTTCATTGCCCGTCCTTTTCATCCCTCCTGCCCCGACCCGAAAGGTGTCGCAGGGAGCAGCTCCTCGGGGTGCCCCCCTCCCCCCAGCAAGCGGTGGCCGAGCCCGCCTTGGCTCCAAAACGATCGGGATCTTTTTGGGCAGCGCGTCTCCGCGGCGGCCCCGGCGACGCGCCATGCCCTGCGAGTGGATAGTGTGTCGCTCCGCTCCGCGGGGCGGGAGGCTCGGATATAGGAAACCATACGACGAAATAAAGATATTACCTGGTGGCGTGCCCAACCCTTTCTAAACATGTGGCGGATACGCATATGTATATGTATGTTTGCATACATCATATATATACTAGAACCATCGCGCGCCGCGCGCTTAGGTCCTAGCTGATCGAATGCTGACCGCATTGCGACAACAAGGCGGTCATGAATAATGAGGTCATCATCCTCTGTTTTCTCCTGCCTCTTCCTCACTCCTCCTCCTCCGCTCTCATCGACCAGTCGACCGGTGATCTGTCGCCAAACTTCTTGGGGACCTCTTGACCCCTCCTGGGATGTCCTGGGTCGAAGATCTCGGGTTATCGGTTCACGTGGCTTCTTGGGCCGTCTTGGGGTCTTGTTGGGGCCCTCTTGGCCTCTCATGGGGCCAACTTGGAGGCCTCTTGGGCGCTCTTGGGGCGATGTTGGGGGCCTCTTGGGCCGTCGGAGAGCTGAAAAGAAGAACATGCCAAAATTCTTCAAACACCGTAGGACAATCAATGGTTTTGGCCTCTTCGGGCCTTCCTGGTGGAGCTCTTGGAGGCCTCTTGGGCAGTCTTAGGCCATCTTGGAGCCATCTTGGGCCATCTTGGAGGCTTCTTGGACGAACTTGAAGGCATCTTGGACTCTCGTGGGCCGTCCAGGGGACATCTTGGACAATCTTGGGCGGACTTGGAGGCCATCTTGGGCCATCTTGGAGGCCATCTTGGGCCAAGGTGACCATCTTAGAAGCCATCTTGAGCCGTCTTGGAGAATTTGTTGCGGTCGTTGAGGTCCCTTTTCGGGTGGCCGGCGGGACAGGTCGCAACCCCAGGGAGAGTTCTTCTCGGGAAAAGAACCAAAACCAAAAGCGAAAGGATTCAGCACGCAAAGCACCCATGTGATGAATCAACAGGGGGCGGCGGATCGAAGACGCCTACGGCGAATCACCGCCGCCTCCTGCCTTTTTGGAAGCGCCTATGTGGCCGAACGTTGAAGCGAGACCTGCCAAGCTATCGGACCATGTGTTCCCCGAGTCGGTTTGGAAAGCCTTCAGGGAACATGTGGGCATCTTGAAGGTAATCTTGGCCGTCTGGAGGCCATCTTGACCCTTGCGGGCCTTCTTGGAGAACGTCTTGGAGGGCTCTTGGGCCGTCTTGGGGGCCTCTTGGGGCCGTCTTGGGTGTTCTTTGGGGGCACTTGGGCCGTCTCGGGCCGTCGGAAGGCCGAACAAAAAGCAAATGCCACAATCCTGTTTATTCTTGTTTTCCAGAGAAATGCTGAGGCGAAGACAACATGTCGCGTGGGCAGTTTGTCCCACACAACCCGCAGATGACGCTACAATTAAATAGGCTTTGGGCTGGCGAGGGCAGAAGCGATGGCTACAGAGCAAGGAAAGCGGACATCTGAAATGAACAATACCGTGCACTGCTATGTTCATTCTTGTTTTCCAGAGAAATGCTGAGGCGATGACAACATG